AAATTAAAAATCAAGGTTTGAATATATGAAATTTTCTTTCCTGAATATTACCTTTTTTAGGCGGACCCTCCTCAGTGAGTAATTCTGACATTAAATGGTCTGTCAGCATTTCAGTTGAAAGCAGAACCATAAAGCGAGTACTCTAAATTAAAATGAGTTTCCATAAAATTCAAATATACTTTAGTTCTTCACACTAACGTTTCAAACATCTTGAGCAACTCATCCCTGTTTCAAAGTATCAATCCACTCTAAGGACAAATTTTCCAGTGGTAACTTCTACCATTTTTTGTACAAATACGGACAAAAATTAGTTTTAGCACCCTTATCCTCCAAGCTGTGTTTCAGCCCCACGAAACACGAACCAGTGGGATCAAGCTGAGCTGTTCCTCTGAACTGAATTCCATTTCTGTTACGAACACACGGAAATTTTTACTAGTACAAGCCTGCCATAAGAACATGTACCTGTCTACATACAACAGGCACAAGCTATGACTGCACAAGTTTAATATACCACAACTAGGAGGGCAAACAAATTTTTTGGTCTAGTGTCATCTTTGCCACAGCCAGACCCACATGAAGTTTCAAGGAAAGCTTTCTAAGACATACCAAACAAAAAAAACCCTTATGCATATTCTAATCACTTCAGCAGTATCTCCCTTTCTCTGAAAAGAAGAACTGATTATATACATCAATAATAGGGAAAATATTTATTTCACAGCTCTGAAAATTAGACTAAAAATCTCACTTCAGAGATCTTTTTGTGTGCACAGTAATGAAGGCTTTAAATGCACCAATTACCTCTAAACATATTACTAAAAGATTATAAAGCAAAACAAATTTTGCGCAAAGCAGCAACTTTTAAAATAAGCAATTATTACATAATTTAAGGCAAAAAAATATATACTAGGCATTTTGTAAAGGTCTGGGAAGTACTTAATATGAAAACAAAATGCCTGGATTATTTTAGCAGAGATATGTTGATATGATGGAAGTCAGAAAGCAATTGTGAAAAAACACTCTGCATCTCTGCTGGTGACAAAGTGTTCAGTCATAAAAGCTTTGATTTAAATCATATTAGTGAAGTGTGGTGGAAGCATGCAGCACCACAACATCAAAGGATACGCCCCAAAAATATGTTTCGGGGTTTTTTTTCTCTCTCCAGTAAGGGTATACTTTTAGTTTCCAACTTGTGTGTGCATTGGAAATGGTTTGTATATCCAGGGAGAAATCAGAGGGAAATGAAAAAGAAAAACAGCTTGAAGGATGCAAGAATTTCACCAGACTTTTAAGTAAAAAATAACAATTCACTTGTAATAGGACTGTCCCATTAGGGTCCCTGATTGCCATGAAAATCTCAATTGACCTACTCCTTTTCTTTGTTAAATTTACTACTTTAAGATAATGAAAACAATATGACCTTTGATTTGGACCCACTAGGTTTCTTTCAAGGTATTCCTCACAGTTCTCCAAAAATTCTTTGGAGAAAAATACACTCGCCTGAATCTCACATTGCCTCAGCAGTTGGATACTCTTGTTCCAGATAATATTGCTCAGACTTCTCAGAAGAGAAGTGATCACTCAGAATTTCAAATTTTTGATTATAGGTAAAATAACATTTTTTTTCCCCTTCGTTTTCAGTAACTTCACAAAATAATCCAAATACGCTACCTGACTGCTTGTAGACACAAAATAACGAACTTCATTTAGAAACAATTAATTCCTCTTTGGAATAAATTTTCCAGCACGGTAATTGAGAGGATAGAACATCGTTGGCTTTGTGTAAGCATAACCTTTTTGAACTTCCCAGGCTGACACATCAGAGCTGAGATGCAATCGTGTTAGTCACAGCGCTCTGCGTGACGCCGATGCTGTACTGAGCAGCACGCTATTAGGAAAGGGTACAGCAGCATGCCGCACTACCGACAGGGCCCTCCCATGCTGGGATCGTCTATATGCAAACACCATGCCCACTGTCACGGCACAACACAGGAGAATGCTAGGCAGCTATTTCTGTAACACCAGGAACATTTATTCCTCCACAACTTGACCCCTGCTCTGTGTGGTGATGGTGGCGATGTGTTTCAGATGGGATGTATAATAGCAGGAGAGCACTGATGCATCAGACCAGGAAATTAAAAAAGATGCCATTCACACAAAGGAATGTTTAGTTAAGTTTGAAAATCTTGGCTCAGACGAGGCCGTGATGGCCCATTTGTTACATCTTTACTCACTAATCTTCATTTGCTGTAGAATTTGTTGTTGGGTTTTTTTCTCTACAAATCAGGCTGTCGGTGATTTCAGCTGATTCCAGGAGCTCATCTGCATTTCACCCAACGCATTTTGAGGTAGAGATAATATCTGAGAGCACTAGGGTCCTTAAGGGGACAGCCTATTACAATACACAACAGTAACTATGTTTCTACGATTTATGAAAAGAAAGCAATATGTGCCTGTTTCGGTGCCTGTCGTTTGCCTACCAATGGTGCAGTGCTCCCCATTCCAGCCCTCTCTGCATTCACATTTCCCATCTTTACAAGTTCCGTGCTCCGTACAACGGGGATGACACACGCGCTGGTCGCACGCCACTCCTGTCCACCCATCTTCACAGCGACATGCTCCGCCAATGCACACCCCGTGAGTGCCACAGTCTACGGAGCACACTTCTAGGAGAAAAAAAAAAAAAAAAAAAAAAAGAATAAAGATTACAGCTAGCTTATGCCAGCGGCAGTGGGGCGGCAGCAGCAGCCTGGTCATGAAGGGAGAAGTGAGGGGAACAGGTACGCTTTGGCTATATGCTGTCAAAACTGGCCTATTCATATTCTGAGCAAAACTAGAATTTCACTTTTGCTTAAAAACAAACCAAATGACATTAAAAAGTTGTTCAAAAAAGAATATGCTGGACAGACTGCTGTAGAGCTGTCCCCTCTATTCAGATGCAAACAAGTTTGAGGCGGCTTCCTCGAGGCCGGTGAGCGGTGCAGGAGGGGAGCCGCAGCTCTGTGTTACTCAAACCTCGACGGACCCCTGGAGATTTCGATACAGACATCGATTTGCAAAGAACGAGATGGCAACTCACCTAAAACTCACTCAGCAAAGCCTGGTGACAATTCAGGGTCACTGAGAGTCTAGGACTGACGTGTAAAAGACACTTTCAAGGGAGAGATTTTGGAATCCTATTACTAACGTGATCAGTTATCCGGTGTCTTACTCCAAAAATTTTTTTACTGCTATCTGCCAGCTGAAGTTGTAGAAAAGCAAACAGAGGGGTCTTTTGCCTCATGCAGCATCAAAGAAAGTGACAGTGAGATTCTCATTCATGAATTTTTTTCTGGCTGCTGACACATGAAGCAGAAAACCCCCACATCTTCAGATTCATTTCACTGGTGGGGTATGCTAAGCCATTAATCTTAAGAAATAACTGAATAAGTGTGAAAACTGTAAATATTATTTTGAGAGACTTGCTTATGGCCTACAGCTCCGTCTCAAGGTTCAGCTTACAATATAAATGTCAAATTCCCGGTGTTTCTTCCCACAAATAGAACATTTGCTGCCTTGTCAAAACTGTTTTTTTTTTCTTTTTAGCTCCTTCTGTTAAGATAATCAAGTTTTACAACTGTAACTTTGGAGAGGATGACATTTTTTAGCCTACGCTTTTGTGCCTGCTTTTTGGTGTCTCTTTCTCTAAAATTATTTTTTAATATTCCATAAACAACTGAAAAGGGAAAAATAGCCTTTATTTGGAAAGAGATTTTTCTGGTTTGTGATGTTTTTCATAAATGAGTAGCATTTTGATGCACAACAACGCAAACCCCAAAAACGTACTTCATTGTAGTGTTTTCCATTCCTCAAATGTTATAAACATATTTATAAATTATGGAAGTTTTCATTTAAAGTTGGGAAACAGATGTGAAGCACTTAAGTTAACTTTTTTCAGTCCGAGTGAGGGTCAGTATTAGAACAAAATGCAGACTCCTAACCTGCATCCCCCTCACCCCCCCAGCTCACAGTCCCAAATTAAGAGTGCCACAAAAAAGAGCATCTCAGCAATATACAACACTTCTTCCCAACATAACTAAACAGGACCAAACACATTCCAGAGACAATTTCCTAACTTAGTTGTTTTTCAAACTTGCCATAGATATTAAGATTTTAATAAAATTATTGGTAAAGTGGGAAAAACGGGGAAAAAAATGCAGAATTGGGAAAAAAATGTTTTTCTTACCAACGGAGCAGTCAGGGCCCATCCAGTTGGGATCACAGCTACAAAGACCTGTGTCAGACAGGTAGGTACCGTGCCCGCTACACTGGTCTGGACACTGGGCTCGGGGAAGCTCACAGTTTATTCCACCCCAACCTGGGCTGCAGAGACATTCTCCATTCACGCAGACTCCGTGGTTGGAGCACGTTGGATCTAAGCAATCAACTACAGAAGAAAACAAAACCAACGTGGACAAAGGTCAGTTCACACAATATGATGTTCGGAAAACATGTAGATGCGTGCTCTGAAAAGTCTGTTATCACTGTCATAAAGCAAATTGATGTAGTTCTTCAAGTCATATTAACACCTGGTCTGAGAATGGGAAAGTGCAAAGTAATTTGGGTTTTACATTAGCTCGAAATAAAACGGTGTGACTGAGCAATGAAAGCTTACTGCAGGAATACTGTAGTGAAGAAGCACAAAGACTTAAAAATAACACTTAAATATACATAGTAAAAGTTCCACACAGCAGCCTTCACCTGGGGACATTTCTTCTGAAATACGTTGACGTTCCAATGACTCATGTACTGTATTTAAATAACAATATAAAAAAAATAACTGAATAAAACACACTTTTTACAGGATCTTTTTCTTTGGAGTATCCTCATCAATTCTGCTATTATTACTATTGAAACACTAGAGCATTGTGAGAATAACATTATGGTATCCACTTTAAGTACCTAGAAGTGAAAATATCAGTGGCTTTGAGCTTCATTTAGACTCCTAAATTATTCAGGCACTTCTGAACATTTGAGTTGTGGTCCATTAGTAGCTGAGCTGTCAAACTGAGAGTCCTAGTTAGTTCAACCCATATTCTAACCAGCAGATAATTCCTCTTAAAGAAATAAACAGATGCAGATAGAGATTTCATCTTTTCTCAATCCAGAAACAACAGAATAAGAAAGCGAAAATAGTTAGAGTGGAAAATTTTTCCAATGAAATTTCAGTTGCTATTTCAATCCTGATAAATAAAGAAATGTTATGAGCTGTCTTTCAAATAAACGCTATCAGAAACATTATGGTTTTCCAAATTTTTATCTTATATCATGAATTTGTATAAGTATACTATGCTCTACCGCAAATACCAACGCAGAGCTTTACCAACTGCCTTTTGCTGTGGAATTGAGGGCCAAGGTCAAATTCATGTCCTAAATAAAATGAATTCATCTCATGACTCATAACAGAAGGACAGAGAATGACTGGCATTCTCTCTTGCAGCTCCAGGAAGATCTGAGTTTATAATGAAAGTGATTTATCTCTCATCTTTTCCAAAGTGATCCTTCTAAATTAAGGCAGAGATATTTTCACTCTACCTTATGTGAACAATACTTGATCTTTCAAATCTCAACTTTTCTATAAACATAAGAGTCTTTTCAAATTATTTTATGCAGTTGCAGAACATTTAAAGTAAGTACATAGATGAGATAGAGAGGATTGAGGAAGGCACATTTAGAGATGCAATAACATGAGTTAGCAGACTAGTTTTGATTTTAATTCAGATTACAGTAGTACAGGAATAAATTACTATAAAATTTCTCATAAGATTTTCATTTTAATGATGACACTAGCTATAGTTTTTTCTTTTTTCTTTTTTTTTTTTTAAGATTTAATGCTTAATTAGACATGAAAATATTATAATACAATTTTGTATTTATAGGTAAACCAAGACTGTTTTGTGGTTCAGCTCAGATAAAATTTGATAAATCCATAAATTGCTTAAAATTATCCACAATGCTTGTCCTGTACTGTTACTCCTTCTTGGTGCTTACCAAAATTAGAAACTGTCCAAAGTTTAGAATATGTCTTTCATACTATTCCTGTTGAACCCGATAGATGCAGAGCCATGATAAAACAATCTGATTGAATAAAGAGATAAAGAACACAAAGACTTAGGTCAATTTACTGTTAGGATGAAGGTTACTTTTTTCTCCTAAATTTAGTCTATTCTATTTTTTTTAGATGATGATACTTTAATGGAAAATTTGAAAGGGTAACATGTGTAAAACATTGTATGTGGCAGGACAGCTAATTTTAGGAGATACTGATGAGTCCTAATGCACTCTCCATGTCAGAAATGTATCATCTTCCTTCTCAAATCAAAGTACTAATGAAAGCAGTGCTGAGCATATGAAAAACACCACCTTCTGCTACCTAAATTAACTGTCTTCCCTCTGTCCTGAATTACAGTATTCGTGCAGCTGAGACTTATTTCCACAGAATAAGCTATTAATACCTCTAAGGCCCCCAACCTCCCGTGTTTTATTGAATAACACGCTAACCACCTTTGTCCTTTGTTCTAGACAAATATACTTTTTAGTTGCTTTGTTCTATTATATGGGTAAGTAATAGCTTTCACGGTTTAAACTGAAGAGAGTTTTTACTTTGAACTCAAATCTTGTTCTATTTTAATACATGCTTTTAGAGTTATCATCTTGGGCCAGATCCTCAGCTGCTAAAATTAGCATAACGTGATTACCTGCAATAGGACTACACTGGTGTATGCTGCAAAGGTTCTGGCCCCGAGTCTTTAGAAGGGTCTACAACAGTACTTAATAAGGACTTATAAATGCAGCTTCTCTGGTGTTTAAACAAAAGGAGCGCGCGCCTTAGCAAGTAAGTACGTTAGACGTAGAACTTGTAGTCCCTTGGCAGCTCAGATCATTAGAGCTCATTTAGTATTGGGCCCTCTGTAGATTTGACAAAAAAAGGTACTGAAAACAACTTATATCCCGAAGGACAAAAAAGGAGGTCAAGGAGTTTCCTGAACAATATGTACCATAAAACCCCCAAAGAGCCATGAATTACACTTACAAAGTTAAATGTCATTGAAAAATGACTCAACCATTAAACCACCAAGGAACCCACCCTTAACTTAACCTCCTTGGGCAATTTCACTTGTCTCTCCCTAAACCAGATTGAACGAAACTTGACAAATAGGCCACTTCATCTTGTGTGCAAATTTGTTAATAGAACAACAGTGTTTATGCTGCAAAAATTGTGCATCACAAATATTGATTTTGGTGCCACTTTCATTTCAGGTAAATTGTTTGAACAATATGACCATGATGAATATCAGAAATAAAAAGCTAACGGGAAGAAAAAAACGCTGACCCACTTCTTCTAATTCAATATCCTAGTTGGAAAACGGCAAATGAATCAACCTTCGCCATTCCATTTGGAAGCTCAAATCAATAGAGGAGATTTCATATATTATATATAAATACAGATATATTTATTTGTATCATTCTGGCAATAGAGTGATAGAATTTTTATTCATGCAAAAAGTTTAAATAAGATCAGATGATTACCTGCCACCGGAGAGACACTACTGCATATTATACCCTTTTTCTTGTAGCTCTTGAATTAATATGAGATATATGTACAGAAGAAAAGGAATTTTAGAGTAGAAACATGACAGTTGCTTTTTATTTATTTGTAAATTAATTTATTGATTTATTTATTGCCCAATGATGTATACAAAAGGTTATTTTAACCTTTCTTGTCATGTTATTGGCCCCTTCCAAGTTTGCAGTCAATACCTCCTGCCTTTAATCCATTTATCTTTTAAGAAAAAACTTATCCTTTCAAGCACACTGTTGATTAAATAATGTACATCCTTTCACCTCACACAGTAATTCACCTCCCCAAAAACTCTGTTGACTAACAATGTTTTGTAGTGTTTCCAATTTTGAATGATGTTAGCATTAACATCTTTGCAGAAAGATAGACGCTAGCTTGTTCTATAAACTTCTCTGGAGCTAGTGATGGCTTCGTTTCATCCATTTCAAACATTCACCTTAGCAGAAGCTGAATTAAGCACTACAAGAGTCTATCTGCCTTACAGGAGTGCTAGGGGATTCGAGATGACTAGCCCAGATATACCACAGCCATTCTAGACAACTGAAAGCAGAGAAAGAATTCCACGCAAACAGCTGGAAATTACAGTAAGAGGAGGGAGGAACTGTTACAAGGTAAAATTTACAGAATCAAATGAAAGAAAGACCACTGTAGGCATTCTTCCATACTCTCTCTAATAATATGAGCATTTATATGACAAGACAAAACATGATGAAATTTATATCACTTAATTAGACTGAGCAGACAATTGCAGTTACCAGAAAGAGAGCTTCTGTGTTCCTGAGGAATAGACTGGATGTTATAGAGCATGCTGAAGACTGCCTTTTCCATCTTTGATTTCGACGAGAACACTAGCTATAGCAAGGCATTTCAGATAATTTTTGAATATTTCCTATAATCATACACTCAGGGTGAACTGAGAACTATCAATTCTAGCAGACAAAAAGGATGTTCCAGAATTTTCTGGATATATCTTAAAATGCAACCAATAAAAAAACAATGGAAAACCTCTACTGACTGCTGTTGAATTCTGAATTAGAGCTTTAGCAATCAGTGTTGTGAAGCTCTCCTGGAAGGACATGACAGGAATTAACTGAGCAAACAGTTGCAGCATTGGCAGTCCCACTAGTCCTGGCTTTTTTTTTTTTTCTTCTTTTAGCAAAATAAGTTCACCCAGACGAATGCAAGACCTTGTCCTAAAGGTGATGACTGCCATCCACGCCCAAAGAGTGAAACCCTTAGTGGTTTAGGTCACTATAGGCTTTTTTTCTCTTTGTTTTTTCTGATGGAAGAAACAGCTGTTTACTATAGCATAAGATAAAAATCAATACAAGTGGTAGACAGCTCTGCACCCCACTCAGAATACTCCATAGAGGCTCTTTAGTCCTAAACCCCATGCAGCTCCAGTCCTACCACTTTAGTCCTCAAACTGCTCCTTCTTTTGGAGGATTAATAAACTCTGGAATGTTGTCATAAAGTACCTTGAACTATTACTGCTCCAAGGATGTGCCAAGGTATGCTGAACTGTCTATTTAGCAATCCTCTGGGGAGTTAAATTCCCTTTTAAAACCATACTAATACATTTTAAAAAGTAAAGAAGTCTAATTTACGTTGTGCATTCTAACAGAAAACACTGTGAATAAAACCAATATTGAGCTTAATCTATGACGACATTTTGCACGGGTTATTTTGTTAAATTTGCTCATTTTATGTACACAAGGAATTGCACACTTTGAACATTAAGAGCTTTTCTGCATTTAAAGGACAGTTATCCTTTGTGTGCGCCGTCTACCTTTCTCTAATCCCATGTGACTGCAGCTAACAGGAGTAATTTGCCCTACACAAAGTCCGTAAGTAACACGGATACCTAAGTTTTTCAAATTTGTTTCATCAACTTCTGTCTTAACAGTGACCGATATGTTTGCTTTGTGTTGAGCTGCAGCTATACAATTTTCTCTACCACTGCTCCTTTTTGCTCTGTGTTTCACATCTAAATTGTTCAATAAATATAATCCATAAGAAAAGATTTATCTTCACTCTTCAACAAAGTAATTATTCTGGTTTACTTGTGGCAGACATTCTTAATACTGCAAAACAATGTATATAGGAGGCCAGTTTTGTCTGAACTTTGATGGATCAGTGAAATTGCAATGGACTACATTTTTACCCCCTGTTATAATATTCTGCTACAGTAGTTCTACAGTTTAATTTTTATCATGTTCTTTCCTTTTTTCTATTTCTTTGAAAAACTCTAAAACTCAGAAAACAAACTCACAACACGGAAAGAAAACATCCTACAGTATTACCTTCTTCACAGTTTTCTCCTTTATAGCCAACAGAACAGACACAGTTCCCTTCGATGCAGGAACCATGACCTCCACATGAGGGATCGATACACTGGCTGATGGGTACATCGCATTCTGGACCTTTCCAGCCACTGTAGCATAAGCAGGTGCCTTTAGAGTATTGACCATTGCCGCTGCACAGTACCGGGCAGGCAGCTGGAAAAGCGAACAAAAGGAAAACAGCACACAGGGTCATACATGTATTCACGTAAAAGTGCACTAAAAATACTTATACGTGTATTCTAATGTGTTACTTTACTGGGGAAAGAAATCTAAGCTAATTTGTAGTAGTTCAGTTCATTTCCCAAAGAAATAATTTGATTTAACAAAACACACGTGTTCAGCATTCTGAGAATACAACTACTATTCTTTATAGACTATTAATGATGTTTGGGATAACTGATGAGGTAGTGTGAAGATTTGAGCCTGACATTACTCTGCCTTTGTTCTACTAGGTAACATCCAGTTTTCACAGCTAGCAGAACACAAAACATTCAGCCCCCAGAACATTTTATTATATAGCATCTTTCTTCTTCCATGACACTTTTTTAATGTAACGTCCCAAAAAATTTTTAGACCCTTTGTTTTTTTTCAGTATAAGAATCTTGAACAGAGGAATAACACAAGCTTTCATCTACAACACATGCACCTTGCCACCGATATCC